AGACCTCAAATGGTTCCTCAAATCAGCACTCAAATCTCTCTAATTAACCAAACCCTAACCCCCAATATACTACTGATTTTCCTTCAAATTTCATGCTTACAATGATAAGAATTACTATAATAACGAGCAGGGACCAGGTACCTTACCTCAATGAACCCCTCTAAAAATCTCCCTTGAAATGGCTCCCAAAAGCTTCACCCCGAATGAAATTTTGAGAAAAATGGCCAAAAATCGCGAAGGGTGAAGTATATACCTTCTGACCCAGGGATTCCGCACCTGCGGTCATTTCTCGCTTCTGCGGTCGAACCAACCGCACCTGCAATTTTCACTTAAAGGTCTGTGACCATACCTGTGGTCACTCTCTCGCACCTGCGCCATCGCAGATGCGTCCATATGTCTGCTTCTGCGGCTCCGCCTAACTCACCTCTTGGCCGCTTCTACGGCTTGCTTCCACATCTGCAGGGGTCGCACCTGCGGCCTCCGAAACACAGATGCAGTTATGACAGCAACCATAAAACTTCAGCTGCCAAACTCAACTCCAAACCTCTCGTTAACCATCTGAAATCATCTCGAAGGCCTCGGGACCTCAACCAAAAGCACGAACAAGTCATATACCACTATCCAAATCTATACCAATCCTCAAAACACCTAAAACATCATCGAAACATCGAATTAACCACGGATTCAAGCTTAAGAACTCCAAAAACTCTCAAATTACGCTTTCGGTCAAAAAGTCTATCAAACCTCGTCCGAATGACCTGAAATTTTGCTCAAATGTCACATTCAACTCTATGGAGCTACTCCAACTTCCGGAATCCCATTCCGACCCTTAGATCAAAATTTCACTATTGACCCGTAAACTTCAAAAATTCAACTTTCGGCATTTCAAGCCTAAATAAGCTACGGACCTCCAAAACACAATCTAAACACGCCCCTAAGCCCGAAATCACCCAACGGAGCTAACGGAACCAACAAAATTTCATTCCGAGGCCGTATTCATACTGCTCCGACTACAGTCCAAATTCTTAAACTTAAACTCTCATTTAGGGACTAAGTATCCCAAAACTCTCTGAAACTCCAGATAAATCTTCCCGTTAACTTACAATAGCAAAAACAAATATGGGGAAAGCAGTTAATAGGGAATCGGGGCGTTAATTCTTAAAACGACCGACCGGGGCGGAGTACTCGTAAAATGCCCCTGGGCTTATGTGTGGAGCTTAGTTCCGTGAGACTTAGGCCTCGGCCATCAGGGCTTACGCTCAGGACACGCCCAAAGCACAGCGTACTGGGCTCGCCTAATAGAACTTTATGCAATTGTATGTAACTAACCTTGTAAATTCTCAAATATTCTTAATAAATCGTTGACTAATCAGAATTACTTTTTGCTTAATCATAAATAATTAAATTGAGAGTATTAATAAAATTATTGCACGTTATCCACTAAGATTGCTATAATAGTTTATTTTAAATAAATATTTCATTTAAAATTATTTATTTATTAACTTTTTTTATGTCTTTACTATATAATAATCCATAAAAAAATTATAATCATTTTTCTAAATATTATTTTTTTCACGTTTATGAAATACAATACTTATTAATTTAATAACTCAGAATTAGCTAGTTACTATTTACAAAATAATTAGTTATCATGTTATTATATGGTGAATTATGTGTCACTTTATTAACTTGTTGAAACTTTAAAAACATTATGCTAGAGAATCTTATTTAAATTATAAATTATGTTTTTATACAAATTCTCTTTCAAATAGAAAGCATATATTAAATAAAAGGAGTATTTTAAGAAAAATATCAAATTATTATATCAAAATTCTTTCAAGATTCATTACTCCTTAAGAGATACATATAAGATTTCATATCAAATACAGTACTTTTGATGTTTGAGATGTAATTACGTTGCAGCTAATTTGCATATTATGATATATGTCATACTTTTCGTATTATTCATAGTTGAATTATAATTTATAAATATTTTAAATAGATTATTTGTGTTAATTTAATAATTTTAATGTAATTTTTATAATTATTTTTAGTTTATACTATCTTAAAATTCTTGAAATTAGTAAAATTTAAACATCAGTGGGACTTACGTCCCATGTCTCAGGGTTTACGTCTCGCCTCGTCAGATATAAAATGCCCCACCTCACGCCCTTGCCTTTTAAAACATTGACTCCATCCTATAGAGAAGTTTCAAATAAACAAGATTAAATTATTCTTATGAATAAATGACACACACTATAGGTACCCAAAGAAGGGGGCATCGGAGCAACAGTTAAGTTGCCGCCATGTGATCTTTAGATCACGGGTTCAAGCCGTAAAATCAGCCACTATTATTTGCATCAAGGTAGGCTACCTACATCACACTCCCTTCGGTGCCAGAGGCGGATTTGTAGGCATTTACATGGGGCACGTGAACCCATGGTCTTTCCGTCAAACTAGGTATTTTATGCATATTTTTTAGAATTGGTCTAATATTATCTGCCGGTACTCATGCTCTAAATAGGCTAAATGGTGCACTTGGTTGAATGTTGATTTATTTACCTAGAGAATTAGGGATCAAATCCCACTTAATACTTCTTCTTTTCTTCTTTTATAGTGGTGCACCCATGTCATTAAAATCCTAGATCCGCCTTTGTTCGGTCGGCCTCTTCCCAAACCCTACGTGAACGCGAGATGCATCGTTCATCGGGCTACCCCTTTTACTATAGGTACCCAAAAAAAGACCAACACTTGCTACAACGTTCACCGGGCTATCCCTTTTACTATAGGTACCCAAAAAAAAGGCCAACACTTACTACAACAGCACTATATGAATCATCCAATCCAGTTAAAAGATCGGAAAAGGGTTCAAAATGCCCCTAAACTATTAGAAAAGATTAAAAAATACCTTTCATCCACTTATTAGGTTAAAAATACCCCTCCATCCACCTTTTTGGTTTACTTACGCCCTTTGACCGTTAGATCAATGTTGAATTAAAAATAGTTACTTAAAAAAATATTTTGCAAAATATTTTCATTTCTTTAAACTAATGCAACAGTAGTCCACTAATTTAGTAAAGTCTTCTTATTCTTTTTTTCAGTTTTTACAAAAAAATAATTCAGTGTTTACAAAAAAAAATCAATTTATTTAAAGCATTTTTTGTAAAAACTGGAAAAAAAAATATTTTTAATAAAATATTTCGTTTTTTAAAAATTGATTTTCTACAAAATATTTTCGTTTTTGGAAATTTTTTCATTTCATTTTTTCGGTTTTTTAAAGCATTTTTTTTAAAACATAGAAAAACAAATTTGTAAAAACTAAATTTTTTTTTTGTAAAAACTAAAAAAATATTTTCGTTTTTGGAAATTTTTTCATTTCATTTTTTCGGTTTTTTAAAGCATTTTTTTTAAAACATAGAAAAACAAATTTGTAAAAACTAAATTTTTTTTTTGTAAAAACTAAAAAAATATTTTCGTTTTTTAACAAAATATTTTTGTTTTTTAAAAACTGAAAATTTTAAAAAAAAAGAAAAAAAATATTTTTCAAAAACGAAAATATTTGTTTCAGTTTTTTAAAAATGAAAATATTTTTGTTAAAAACAATTTTTTCCTGTTTTTACAAAAAAAAATCCAATTTTAAAAAAAATGCTTGAAAAAAAAACTGAAAAAATGAAGAAAAAAATATTTTTTGTAAAAACTGAATTTTTTCTTGTAAAAACTGGAAAAAAAAGGAAGACTTTACTAAATTAGTGGACTACTGGTGCATTAATTAAAAAAACAAAAATATTTTTTAAGTAATTATTTCTAATTCACATTGACCTAACGGTCAAATGACATTAGTGAACCAAAAAGATGGATGGGGGGTATTTTTAGACCAATAGGTGGATGAAGGGTATTTTTAAACCTTATCCAATAATTTAGGGGCATTTTGAACTTTTTTCCGTTAAAAGATTCATTTCCCGATGTACTAGAAGATGATCTATATGATTTTTTTAGGGGACCACAAGTGCAATTTGGCATAGGGTATATGAAGATAATTCATCCCAATATCATTTCAATGTGGTATTGTACAATGCAAGGGTTGATGTACTTTCCTAGGTTCAAAATTTTGTTGTGCCAAATTCCAGAACAAAAATTTGGTGATCAAGAAAATAACTGACTCTTCGGCATGAATCAACAACAACAACAACCCAGTATAATCCCACTTATTAGGGTCTGGGGAGGGTAGTGTGTACACAGACCTTACCCCTACCCTGGGGTAGAGGCTGTTTCCAAATAGACCCTCGGCATCCTTCCCTCCAAGAACTTCCCACCTTGCTCTTGGGTAGACTCGAACTCACAACCTCTTGGTTGGAAGTGGAGGTTGCTTACCATCAGAACAACCCCTCTTGGTTCGGCATGAATCAACAACAAGAACAAACCCAATGTAATCCCACAAGTAGGGTCTGGGAGGGTAGTGTGTACGCAGACCTTACCCCTATCGAAAAAATTGGTTATGGAAAATAAGAATTAGCTTGAGGTGTGTCAAGGACATTGTCCTTAAGGATATTTTAACCACACAATAAAGAATAAAATTAGGCGTATCCCCCAGGATTCAACAAGTTCTTCTAGTTATTAAACTGGGAACATAACTAGCAGAAAACTCAAAAAAGAAACCCAACATATAGGAGGAAAAGAGGATTCAGAAAGTTGTATTAGAAAGTGTCTTTAGCTCTTCAAAGACATGTTTATATAGGTGTTGCTCCAACGGCTAGTTTACGGCTAGTAACGGCTTTTTTGACTCTATTAATTGTAAAATAACTTACTCAATAATAAGTAGATGTAAATAATATTTCAAAGAGAAGTTTTCCCAAACCAAGATGGACATTACCTTTTGAGACATCACTAATTTTCCAACAACCTCTACCTACCTTCAAGAAGGTAGAAAGGTTGTTTCCGGTAGAAACTCGATTCAGCATGAATCAGAGTAGCTAATAATTAGTAAGAGCATTCAGAAATCATATTAATAACTGCATAGATATATCATATTAAAACATGAAAGAGCAATGGAATTGAACAATCATTAGACTCAGTTCTAAACTGAGCAGAGCTTCTATATGATTACAATAACTAGAAGTCCCATTTCATTTTGTTTCAAATGCATAAACTAAGAGGTTAAATACACAAGGATCAGAAATAACCTTCCTCATACTTTTCCTATTTCATTGGCTTCTTCCATAACTCCCCGATCCTTTTAAGCACGTTTGGATTTTTTCTCTTCATTAAATCTTCATCCATGTCCTCGAAGTAAGGTGAGCTAATCTTGCCGGGACTGTAATGACTATCCATTGATCCAGTTCTTTCCATGAATTTCCCGTTATTGCCATTTGATAACATAGCAGTCGCAACTTCTGCAGCTTTTCTCCATTGGTTAGACTGAACCTTTAGCTTCCTTAGTTCGGCTTCCATTTCTGCATTGGAAGCTTGAGCTGCATCCAACTGCTCAGTTACCCTAGCTACCCGCCGGTTACTCTTATCAACTTCCTCTTTCATATACCCGAGCTTCATCTGAGCTTCTCGTTCTGCAGTCTTTGCGCCCTCTAGTTCAGCAGCAACTTCATCCTTCACTTTACCTCTATTGCTTTCCTTTTTGTTAGTTTCTAGTTTCAGGATCTCATTTTCCTCTAAAATATTCTGCAGTTCGGTTTCCTTGTCCATCAAATTTGCCTTCAGATTTTCAATATCAAGTCTTGATCTCTGAAGCTCCTTTTCAAGTTCATTTTCTCCTTTTCCAGATTTGGCATTCTCTAGTTTCATGGTAAGATTCTCATTCTCCTCGCAAATACCCTGCAATTCAGTTTCTTTATCCATTAAATTTGCCTTCAACTCATCTATTTGTGTTTTGAACTTCTGTAAATCTCCCTGCAGCTCATCTTCCCTTTGCCTCGACATTTCCTTGATTTGCTCCACCAACTCATACGCACTTCTAATTTCAAGTGTGCTTCGAGTTTTTTCTTCGTTGTATTTGATTTCAGCTGCTACCAGATCAGCTCTCAGACGTTCAACTTCCGATTTCAGAGAAGACAGTTCCGCCTCAATTGTTTCCTTACTTTCATCAACTTCGACAATTTCAGTTTCACCAACATTGCTAGCATCAGTTTGGAGTTTGCAAACAACGTCTTCCAACAAATTTGCACGTGCCCTCGACTGATCCAACTCAGAAGATATAGTGTTGTATGCCTCCATAACTTTATTACCGTCGGACCTGAGGGTCTCTACAGTCTTCTTTGCTGATTCCAGTTGCAACAGAGTTTCAGTAACAAGTGCTTGAGCTTGAGCTTCTGAATCTTTGCTATCCTTTAGTTGTTTCTTCATGTCTTCCATAAGCGAAAGAGTATCCGCCAGGTTTTGTTTCAAGTTTTGGAGCTCAGTTTGTGCTGCTTCCGCGTTCTTTGTTTTGGTAACCTCGGATTCAGCAACAGTCTCAAGCTGAGCCTTTAGTTCTTTGATCTCAATCAAGGCAGAAGTCAATGCAGCTGAGTCAACCGAGTGCTGTTTTTGGATTGTCTCAAGTTCTGAACACAATGTCGGATTCTCAGAAGAAGGTTGCTCCAAAAGCTGTTTCGGGGACTGATCCAGTTCCGCGGATAATATTGTACAGTGTTCCTTCGACCCCTCGGCCTCTACTTCAGCTTGCTTTTTGCATGCTTCTGACGAGCTTATCTTTCCCTTAAGATCATTTTTTAGCTGAGTGATTTGGGACTCCAATTCAGATACCCTGCTCGGACACTTCTTCTTTAAAGTTTAAAATAACCCCCATTCCAACAACAGAAACAAAAACAAAATAAAGAAAAAGATTTAGAATATAGATAAAACATATTGAAACAAACATTTATTTTACAAATTAACCGTCATAGTCAAATGAGGACAGCAAGATGAAGAAAAAGTTGCAGAGTAAAAAAAGATTAAACACCACTAAAGGATATCTACAAAAGAGCGTGAGCTAGAATAGAAATTCGATTATATTTGTATTAAGTGGTTAAAGGTTCTTTGAAATATAACAAAAGCAAAGATGAATGCTAAAAGTTTTGCTCGGTTTGATTCCTGTAGAGGATCAGTCTGAGAAAGAAATCAACAACAAGGTAATTGCACTGAATCGGTCCTGTTTAAAACCAACCCTGAAGTATTAAAGATATTGGAATTCTAAACATGAAGAAAAGCCTAATAAGGGCATAACAAAAGCACCAGTAACCTTGAGGCAAATGAGAACTGAGATTATAAATTCATGATAAAGAGTTCCTTCCTAGCAAATGGACACGAACCTGGACCACAAGGTTCATAATCAATGATTATGTGCTAGCAATTCAAACTGAACTGGAATTTGGAAAACATCTTCGAACTTTTACCGTGGTTTTTTAGTTAAGAAATAAAAAGGCACAGACAAGAAAGAAAATGGAACATCTGGAGGAAACAAAAGTAACGGGAAAAGAAAGCACCAGATTGTTTCCTGTTTGGTTTAACTAATAAGTGGAGGAAGGGTAGTGTGTATACAGACCTTACCCCTACCTTGTGAAAGTAGAGAGGTTGTTTCCGATACAACCTCGGCTGAAGGAAGTTTGGTTTAACTAGCAGAATGAGTTAATTAGGAATTGCACAGTAATGTTAAATCTAAATCTTCCATTCATAATAGCAGATGTTCTTTTGGCTCTATGAAAACTTCAAATATCAAAGATTTTCATTCACAAGAGCAGGGGTAGTTTTGGTACATAAAAAACTTAATTACCACAGTAGAGTTTCCTTATTAAACCCCTCTTCTTCTCTTAATTGCCCTTTTTATCACTCTAAAAAAATCATCCAGACATAAACAACACCTTTCCTTGCTGTTATTTCTATTCTTAAATCCAAAGATACTATTCTAAAAAAGGTTCAGAATAAGATAAGTCATTTTTGTAGAATTTTACCTCTGACTCCAAACTTTTGGGAGACTTCTGCTCAGTGACTTTAGGCCTTCTCTCTTTTGGTGTCCTACTATTACCATGAGGAGAAGATACAGAGTCAGAATCTAGTGCACCCGTCTTCAGGCGGCGCGCAACTCTGGGCGAAATCTTTTGGGGCACATCTTGAGAAGCCGCTCGAGGTGAAATCTTTTGAGGAGCTTCTCGAGATCTCACAGCTCGCGGAGAGATCTTTAGAGGCACTTCCGTGGTATTGCCTCGTGGCGATTTCTTTTGTGGCACTTCAGAGGAACTGTTTCTGTTATCAAATTTTGTATATAAAATAAAAGGTCAGAACTCAGTTTACAAAATAGACAACAATTCACCAAAGAACTGAAGATCATAGCAAATATGATAGAAGATCAGAAAAGAAAGTAGACTGAGTATAAAATATTTCATAGACCTTGAGTAAAAGAAAATAAAGCTGAAATAGATATTTTATCATATCAAATATGCAATGTTCACATACAAATTTGTGCAACATATTTACTACTACTATCAGATATCACTAAACCACAAATGGAAACATCTTAATATCTTTCTGATTCTTTATTAAATGGCATAACGTTAATAGCTTTTGTATCCTTTAATGGTATGAATGCACACCACATTTAAAGCACAAACTTTTCCAGTCATAAAATTCAAGATTTATGGTCTCACACGCACCCTTTCATCCTTATCCTTGACAGAAGACACACATTAAGAGAAACTCCAGAAGAAACTATCAAAGAATTTAGCTGTCATTTTTCCTATAAACTACAAGCAGTTAAGAAAATTAACATGTCAACTTCAGTGGAAATAGCTCTTTTTAAGTCATAGCAAACAAAAAGAAACATTTCAGTATAATAAGTAGAATTCAACATTAAACTCAAACTGAACTAGGGACCCAGTCCATTACCGTTACAAGAACAACTGCATGAATTCCAGCTATGACCAGTCTATTTAATTTACTAAATACTCATAAATGAGACTGAACTTACCTTGCTTTTGGGGTCTGCATATCTCAACAACCTTTTGGCCCACAAAGTAAAATCTTGGTATTAAGAAAAAATTTCCTGTTTCAATGCCCTCTGCCCCACTAACTCTGCAAAGATTACATAAATATCACATTACTAGCAAATGGCCAATAATATAGTAGAATGAAACATGGGGAATCCAATGTGAGGAAACAATAAATGCACACAAGAAGACCATTATATGGTTCTAAAACAAAAGGTACTCCAGTACACTAAGCTCCCGTTATGTGCGGGTTATGTGTGGGGCCTCGGAAAAGGCCGGACCATCAGATTTTATTGTACGCAGCCTTATCTTGCAGTAATGCAAGAGTCGGTTTCCACAATTCAAACCCGTGGCTTTCTGGACACATGACAATAATTTTACATGACCACAATTTTACCAGTTACGCCAAGGAGAAAAATAGATCAACAAACAAAAAAGGAGAAAAATAAAAGGGGTCTAAGTTCATTTAGCCACATTGAATGCATAACAAAATAAGGTGAGTTTGGTACCTATCTTAATTGCATTCACAAGGACTATATAGTGATCAGTATAGGACAAGTTGCATGGTAAGATTGTTACCCTTCATAGACTGTTCAAAAAATAGGAGTATTTGTTTAATGAGACATAAAAAGTGGGCCATGGGTTAAAAAATTGACTCCTCAATTACAGGCAATCTTCACCAAGAAAGAGATCCTCCATTTTAGCCTGAATGAATGGCACTACAGTATACTTTCATGAGTTGTAAGTTTTTTAAACAACAACAAAAAAAATAAATCAAGTATAAGATCTAAAAAATTGATTTTCAATAGACCCTTAGCTCAACAATAGATTAAAAAAAAGCACTAGTACGTATCAAGTAATAACAAGAGCGAGATAATAAAAAAACGAAACTAAAGGAACAACGAGTAGTAGTAGAATTCTACCAATAATAGAATACAAGACTAACACCAATATTATTGGTACGGGAAAGAAACACTCTCTGCTACCTAATACCTTAATACCTTAATTCTCTGCCTACACATCTTGTCGAGAGTCGTATCCTCGATAAATATTTGAACATAAGCAAATAATTGCTGAAAATACTTTCCCATAAAACCCCACCTGAGTTTTCTTTGCAAAATCTCTAAAGTCAGATTCAGATAAGCTAAAGATAAAAGCTTCAAATTAAAATGAAGAAAAATGGTTCAAAATTTTAAAACCTGCAAGAAAGAACCAAATGCATCTAAAGTAGAAGCAAAAAAAAAAAGGAATAAACACACGACTCCAAAAAAAGCTTAAAACACAACGTAAAGAGAGTCCATCAAACTCTTCAAGATTCGACTTTTCCTTTTTACTTTTAAGCAAAAAACCTGCATTCTGTAAAGCTGAGAACTTTAGGAGACATCAAGCTCAAAACACAGACCAAACACTGTAGAATCTTGTAAAAAAAAAAAGTAAGATTAACCATAAAACTACATTCCAAAAAGTAGTTCAAAAAGTTGCTATCATCACATTGTACACTCCATCAACAGAAGAACAAAAAAGAAAAATGAAAGAAAGAGGAAAAAAGAAAGAAAATAAAGAGAAAAAATGTGGAATTGAGTTTTGGTCTTACCAAGAAAAGGTTACAGGAAGGATATCAGAAGGGGGTGGTTAGAATATCAAGAATTTAGCACAGTAGAATTTGAGCTGAATTTTCCATCATTTATTAGAGAAACAAAGAAGAAAAAAGAAACCATTTTTTTGTAGTCAGTTTCCCAAAGAGATTATATTAAGTAGTGATAAGAGTACACATTTCTCAAGGCTACCTGCTTTGCTTGAAAAGTAACTAATTTTTCTGACTTTGGCCACTTCTTTAGCTGTGTAGTGTGGACTGCAAAGAGAGTAGAGCAGTTTTATTGGTAGCTTTTGAAAATAAGATCTGAGAAAATTAAAATAGAGCTGTTTATGGTGGGAGGAGACGTTATCTTGGATAAAATTTTGATTTTAAGATTGAAATGTTAGTGTGTGAATGTGGGACCTTTTTTCTGCACAGATTCTCGTACTATTTGATGTGTGTTCTTCAAATTTTTATCTTTCTTTTTTTGGACACTTGTGTGTTTTGCTTAAGATTTTTATCAGGCGAGTTGCTAGAGTATTTTAAGAAATCTTTGTCATTTGTGTAACAACTTCTTTGTACGTTCGTTTTTGAATTTAAAACTAGTGACCATCTATTGGTAATTAGAATAAAATAGGTAAATGTTAATTTGAGTGCCCGTATGATTTACAAAAGAATTTGGTTTTTTAAGTGTTTCTTAAACTTGAAGAAAAATAAGCAGTAAGGTAAATACAACGATTTTTACGTGGAAAATCACCCGGCTCAAAAGGTGTGTTGGTGAAAATACAATTACAGTTGAACTTTTTTTTCACATATGAGAACATGGGATAATTAGTGGTAGAACATGGGAGAAGAGTTACAAAAGAGTTATGGTCATTTCTACATCATGGAATAATGGGAATTATGTCAATTTTCTACATCATGGAGTAGTGGGAGTTATGGCATATTTTATTTTAATAATAAAATGCTAAAATACTTACAAGGTGCAAAAACTACGATCTACTACATAGAATTTTTAACATCAACTCCACTAGAACAATGAGCCAAAATGTATCAATTACAAGACTGTAATTCAATACTCTCCAGTACTCCTACTACGACTATTTGGTTTACAAGTTACTCTAACTTGTAACGCAAACACCCACTCCAACTCAGTAATTGTTTGTGATACTTAATTACAACTCGATTTCCTAAAACACATTCACTAGACCGACTCAAGAAGAATACAATACTGATACTCGACTAGAGTGAACAAAATGTAATTTTTCCAATTGATGGGTAAAAGGATAAATTCAGAAGTCCAAAATAGATGGTATGTTATAGATGGTATTCAGAATAACATTTATCAGTTTATTCAGCGATTAAGCCCCTACATAGCCTCAATCATGGCTCAAATAGTTCATAACAATGTCACAAATGTGCGAAGAATTATAGCTTAAGGTTTAACAGTTAAATTCTAGGCTTATAAGAGCCCGATCGCAACTCGAACATGAATAAATGATCATGTGCCCGCACATGGGTTCATTCCCATGCATGTGCGCACCCAATAGCATGTAGCTATCACAATAATTCAGGCAACTAGTGCCTCAACCAAGTTTAAATAAGATATTTACCTCAAACACATCAAATTACTCTGCTAACAAGCCCTTCCCACGCGTATCGACCTCCAGAAGGCTCGAATCTAGCCAAAAATAATATAATACTATCAATAAAAGCTACAGGAATTGGTTCCAAATGACAAAGTTAAGATCTTTAACTAAAGTCAAAAAATCAACCCAAAGATGAGGAATGCATGAAAAGCCCTCGAACTTCTATTTCAGCCTAGCGATTTTCGCTTTTGCGGACCAGCAGCCGCTTCTGCGGCTCCGCACCTGCGGAAAATCCATCGCAGGTGTGGCTTTAACTCAAGCCAACAGTCTTTGCTTCCGCGGTCCACAAGCACACATGCGCTTCCACTTTGCGGGCCACAAGCGCTTCTGCACACACGCACATGCGGACCAAGTCCGCTTCTGCGCCCCCAGGCCATCTTGGCCAATTCCGGATCTGCGCTCCCAGGCCATCTCCAAAAATCTCACACCTGCGACCACTCCCTCTGCAGCTGCGATGATACTAGACTTCAGCAGCAACAACAAGTCTCCAAGTCAAAGTTCCAATCCATTTTCAATCTGAATCTCACCCAAGGCCCCCCGGTACCCAATCCAAACATACCAACAAGTCCTAAAACACGATACAAACTTAGTCAAAACCTCAAATCTCGTCAAACATCATCAAAAACATGAATCGCACCTCAATTCAAGCTTATTGAAACTAATAAATTTTCAACTTCTACAATCGATGTCGATACCTATCAAACCAACTCCGATTGACCTCAGATTTTGCATGCAAGTCATAAATGATATGTCAGACCTATTCTAACTTACGAAACCAAAATTTGAGCCCGGTAACCACAAAATCAACTCTCGGTCAAACTTCTCAACTCTCTAAACTTCAATTTTTCCAACTTTCGCCAATTCAATCCAAAATCATCTACGAACCTCCAAATCAATATCCAGACATACTCGTAAATCAAAAACACTATACGGAGTTATCAGAACCATCAAAACTCCATTCCGGAGTCATTTACACATAAGCCAATATTCGGTTAACTATTTCAACTCAAGCTTCTAACCTTGGGACTAAGTGTCCCAATTCATTCCGAAACATCCTCGGAACTAAACCGACCACCCCGACAAGTCACATAGCAATAAATGAGCATAAAATAAGCAATAAATGGGGTAATGAGGTTATAATACTCAAAATAACTGGTCGGGTCGTTATATGGGAGAACTTTCTTGTGACCACAATTCCAGTGTAAACATCATTGCTATGGCTGGACACTTTTTCTTCAAGTAATTGTCAAATTCCAAAAAAGAAATATTCAAAGGTATCCCAACTCTTCAGCATCAAACTCCATTTCAAACCCCTTACATTACTTTTGACTACCTTTCTATCAAATTGAAAGTTTGCATTGAACTCCACAACAGCATGAACACATACAAGAGGGAAAACTTTGACAAACATGTGCTTCCATCCCTGTAGCTCAAGGTTTTCAACCAGTTGAGCCATCCCTTTTTCGTCAGTGTTGGCAAGAATCTTCCTATTAAGCAGTTTTCTGTTCTTGAACTCTGTGAGTCTATCAACTACAACTGGCACATTCTTTATCTTCTTTCCCCTACTAGCCCTTGCATATGGGGTAGTAGTTTTTGTAGCTTTGGCAACCTTTCTCTTTTGTGTAGAGGACTTTTCTGGCAAAGCAGACTCAGACTCATCTTTTCCATCCAACTCAACCATAGGTTCCACAATTTAAACTTCCTTCCTTGGCTTCTTGGCATCTTTAGACTCCTTAATGATTTTTTCATCACCAACCTTTCTTTTACTTCTTGTAAGAGGAGTCCTGGCAGGAGGAGCCACTTTTTTCCTTATTGGGACTGCAGACTCTATTGCTTTCACAAGAGTCTTCCTAGGTTTCTTCCCTACCTCAGACTAGGGCAAGTTATCTTTATAACTGCTGATCTCTTCATCTCTAGTGAAAGAAGTTAATAAGGGTCGAGGTTCTTTAGTCCTTTTCTCTCCCCTTGCTTCTTCTGAAGGGGCTATGACACGGTTCCCAATGGTCATAGAGCCTTCATATTCCTCACTCATATTCTCATTCTCTTCCTTACTTTCTTCATTCACTCCTTCACTCTCACTGGCCTTTTCTTGATCCTCACTTTCACTCTCAGAATTATCCTCTTCTTCACTATTATTTTCTTCTTCTACAAAATTATTTACTTGTTCACATATCCTATCATCCATCTCACTCTCCTTCTCTTCTCCATAATCTCCCTCATTCTCACTTTTCCCTCTTTATTAGCTATGTCTTGAGTAGTATGCTCCTCATGCTGTCCACAACTCCTTCTTCCCTTTCACCCCATTATTATCCTCATCCTCCGTCTAGATGAATGAAAGACCATCAGATGTCTCCTTTTGTAGTGGTTATTTACTCCATTTCCTCTCAATCACAGGCATCATATTAGTGGTATCTACCTCTTTCTTCAGATTATTTACACCTTTTTCTACAGTGAATTCCTCTACTTGTGGTTTCTCACTTGTGGGTGAAAAAGTGTCTAAGGGTGCAGTATCTATAGTGGATACCACAATATCTAATTTTGAATGAGGGAGTTGTAACTAACTTTTAATGACTGACACTGATTCCCCTTGAACCGTAGCTTTCTTTACCACGGTGTCTACTTGAGTAGTAGCACCAGGCACTATATTGACATTCTTGACAGATTTTCTTGGAGTAGACTTGACCTTGGTTGACTTAGATGTATTTTTTCAGTAGGAACAGATGCACGAGGTGAAGTGGACGTGGGGACGGTGAGACTAGCAGGAATAGGGAATGATGGTGTAGGTACAGTAGAGGATATCGTTAGAGAAGGAGAAGGTGTTGGTGCGGATTTACTTGATGGCTTGACATTTTTCTTTGACTTGGGCTTCATACTCTTGGATTTTACTTCAGTTTTGGATGATGATTTGGCTTTAGAAGGGGTTTGGATGGATTTAGGCATGGGTATCAGAGAAGAGAAACGATGAAGGGAAAAGAAAGAATTGGTTCTTGATATTTATTCTTGGTTCTTGCTTGGGGTTTGAGAGAAACTGTAAGGTATACGAAGCTGATCATAAGGGGATTTTAAAGACGTTACTCCTGATTTGACTGGAAGAGAGAGGGTGATCGAATTTGAGTTCTAACGGGACTCTTATAATTGTTACTTTTACTGTTAAGATTTCAGGAGTAATTAAACTCTAATTGCTCTAGGATTCCCCCTTTCTCTTTGACTAGAAGACAACTAGAAGTGATGCTAACAAGATTAGAAGTTTGAGTATATCAATAATTTAGGATATAAATGCAATGAATTAAGACAAGATGGCAC